GCAAAATTCAACCACCAGTCTGGAACAGGAAGGGACACCACTTTGCCCTTTGCCTCAGGCAGCAAAATGTATTGGGCTGGCCCTGAAGCTTCTCCATATTAATTTAAAAAACAACAACCCCAAAACATCTCACTAACCAGATTGCATTAATGGCTCTTCCCTTGTGAGAAAGCAGTTGCATCTAGGGAGGTCTCCAAGGTTGTAAGGAAGTGGCCGGTTGCTTATGAAGATGTTAATTTTTAACAGTCTACAGCAGAGACACTGTGAAAGATTCATAGGCAGGACCTGCCAGGAGGAGTGAGCTAAAACAGGCCTGTGTTGCTGAAAAGGTTTATCCCAACTAGGCTGAGGCCAAACGCTACGCTGCGGTAAAAAAACGGTACAAACAAAGTCACTCCTTTAGGGACGGCCATGAATGGAAGGGTCTGAGGCGTCAGGAACGGGTACTGCTCAGCTGCCAGGAAGTCTGTGGGATGTGGCAGCCGGCCCAGTGAAAACGAAGTGCCAGGAACTCCCAAAACAACAGCCATGTGGACTGATATTGGGGATTTTGAATTCTGTTAGACTGGGTTGCCTTATCAAGTCGGAGGATCTGAGAGCAAGTTGACCTTTGCAGATGCCTCTCTCCCCTCCCTCCCAGAGCCCAGAGCCTACCATGGATTCAGCATCACACTTATTAAAAGTATTGTTCCTTTGTACAAGCGCACCATCAATTTCAACGCTGCGATTTGACTGTTTCGTACATTGATCCAGCTGCATCAGATAAGAACCCCAGAGAGAATATTTCACTTGGAACTCCGCTAGGCAGGGTCATTTCATATCAATACTTCTCCTACAGGGGCAAATCACTCTACGGTTTCCCAGGATGGTCGCTTATACAGGGCTTGATCAACAACGCACAAAAACTGCATTGGTTTGAAGAGCAATCTGCACTCTAACAAGCCAGTGGGTTTAAAATAATAATGAGACAATAATCAAACACAGGGGATCCGTCGCACAATGGAAGTCTAGGCAAGTATGAAAGGCCTGACCTGAAAGAGGAGGAACTCTTAAAGTTAGGCTCCAGTTTCTTGGGAAGCTGCTTCCTCATACTATAATGAGATACCTAGGGAGGTGAGTCAGTCCATTCATTACGAAAGTTGGGCAATAGTCCTGGACACATCAGACCTCTTGGTGTCATCACACAGCCACATATTAGCACAACTGCCAAATGTTGGCTGCATTTCAACAGCTGACAATTTTGCAACTCCCAAAGAGGAGCAGAGGAGGAAGGAAGCATTGTACAGTAGGCTGAAAATTACCACAAGTTCCTTTCTCTCTCCCATCTCATCTCTGCTTAATGGCTATTGAGAGATTGAACTTGACAGAACATTAAAGATGATTCTTTGCCCCAGCCCTAGCATATGTACGCAAAGGTAAAATGAAAGGGACGGGGAGTCGAATATGGCAGGAATGGAAGACGGCCCATCTAGAACCTCAGTACAGTCAGGAGTTGATCTGGCAAAGACTGAAGGCTATTGCAAAATAGTGAACGGCGCTCATTCAACTACATATTCCCCTCTTCCATTCCCAATCCTTTATCCTGCCCTATATATTTAAAGCAGTATTACATCACTTTAAACAGAAAAGGGTTTTCCCCAAAGAATCCTGGGAACTGTAGTTTGCTCAGGGTGCAAAGCATTGTTAGGAGACCCCTATTTCCCTCACAGAGCTACAATTCCCAGCAACAGGAAATCTGTGGGCAGATTGCTGGGACATTCAAAGCTGCCTCAGGCTAAGCCAGTTACAGGTAGGTAGCCGTGTTGGTCTGCCGTAGTCAAAACAAAATTAAAAAATTCCTTCCAGTAGCACCTTAGAGACCAGCTAAGTTTGTTATTGGTATGTGCTTTCATGTGCATGCACATTTCTTCAGACTAAGCCAGTTGGACTACAACTCTGAGGCTGGTTGGGGCTGATGGGAACTGTAGTCCAAAAGATCCAGAAAGCACAAGGTTGATGAGAACTGGGCAGCAGTTGTCCACTTTTTCAGACTGGAGTTTTGCTCATTTCCACCCTGGAGATGCCTGGGCTTGAATAGGGAACCTTCTGCACACACAACCGTGTGCTCTATGACTGAGCTATGGACTCTCCCTATTGCTAGTCTGGCAGCATGTGGGTTGGATGTCTTTGCCAAGCAATAGAAACCAGGGCAGGGGGAACTTTTTCATCCCTTCTGGGCAACCTTCCATGGTGGGTGGGGGCCTGAGGCAAAAGTGGGTGGAGCAACAATGGTCAAGTTTGTCTTTCTACAGTGGGCTGGTTTCCACACACCCTTGTCGATCCTCCATGCAGGCAGCCAATATACAAGAGTTCAAGGGCATATTTCAGCCAGGCCAAACACTCAAGAAGGGCATGAAGCAGGGCTGGTAAAGGGTGTAGGGCGAATCCTGAGGGCCGGAGGCTAGAGAGGTTCGGAGGCAGGCTAGGCTGAGAGATTGTGAGTGGCCCAATGTAATCAAGTGCGCTTCATGGAGGAGTGAAGATTTGAATCTGGTTTTATCCAGAAACAACAACAACAGTATCTGCTATGACACACTAGCTCTTGAATTTTCTCTCTCTTTGGGCTACGTTTAAGCAGTGAAGTGCTTTCTCTGTTAGTTGTGTTTTTATTCATTTTCAGCCATGCAATGACTGCTATGTGGCCAGACTCTATAAGACCTAGATGTTTAAGTAAACAAATACTTCAAGGAATGAGAGAGACACGAGGGACCAAAAGGATCAGGCCTCTTAATCACCTTCGGCCGCATTCCTCATAACCTTGCATTTATCTGAACTTAATTCCCGGTTACTTTTATGGCCAGAGTGATGGCAGGGCCCCGAAAGCCTTTCTGGAAATAATATTCATAAAACCGGAGCATTTCTGGTTCCGTCCCTCTGTGCTTGGCCTTCAGCCAACAGATAAAGGGATCAGAAAGCAGAACCTCCTCCAAGTGGAAATTGGAAAAGAGGCGGGTGGGGGAATTACGTTCTTGCCATTTGAAAGAAAATTTGGAAATACAAAATTACCGGATTCACAGCCGAGTAACTAGCGACAGGGGAGAACGTCCTACTTATCTTCTCCTTGCCACAGGTGTATAAGCCAATCCAATTTCCTGACTTCAGGCTGCAATGGCAGAAGTGAGCAAAACAGAGGTGTCCAACTCTGTCTCACACCTATTTTATTTTATTTTTTAAATTTGGTTAATGGTAACGTGCAGGGCAACTCTTACAGGTGATGACAATGACAGTGGTATTCAACCTCAAGGATGTTGGTTACATAAGGCTCCAGGGGTGGGGGGCTAAGTCTTTTGCACCAAGTTCCAGGCCCCATCTGCCCCAGATATTTAAAGCACTGACATGCCTCTTTAAAATCCCCTTAGCTTCCCCCCAAAAATCTTGAGAACTGTAGCTTAATAAGGCCACTGAGAGTTGTGGGTAGACCCCCTATCCATAGCTGTCAACGTTTCCCTTTTTTAAAGGGAAATTCCCTTATTCTGAATAGGATTCCTCACAAGAAAAGGGAAAAGTTGACAGCTATGCCCCTATCTCCCTCACAGAGCTGCTATTCGCAAAGTGGTTTAATAGTTAGACACCCCCCCCCCCCGAGAACTCTGTGAATTATAGCTCTGGGAGGGGAGCTGGGGTCTCCTAGCAACTTTCTGAACATCTTTAACAAAAAACCAGTTCCCACGATTCTTTTGGCTGTTTAAAGTGGTACGAAACTGCTTGAAATGCCTAGTGCAGATGCAAAGCGCAACACTGCCACCCGTCACCATAATTTGCCCAGGTACATCAATACCATAGTGATTAGCATGTGCAAATTTGTGCCATCAGCCTGTGCCCCAAGTCCTTTAAGTGCTAAACAACACCCATTCTTGGTTCAGTCCATGCCATCCCAATCTGCTCACCCGTTCTCAGTTTTCCACAGGTAGGAAAAGGATCTGTGATAAACATCGCAAAATTTCCCCTTTCCCAAATACTCCAGTTCTTGGGGATATGTGAAGCTGTGCAGCTCTGTAACAAACTGCAGCAGCCCTGAACAACTTGAAAACAAATTTTATTTTACATCCCCAAATCTCTTTAAAAAGTATCCATCTCCTGGCCTAAAATCTGTTTTCATGGGCATTACAGCTCTCTCTCTCTCTCTGTGTGTGTGTGTGTGTGTGTGTATGTTTCGGGCCTCGTGATCATCAAATGCCCGACTTTTGGAAGTGCCATTAAGGGTTCCCATATGGCAGAGAGCAAACACACTAGCCTAAACAGCCGGCAAACTTAGCAGGAACTGTCAGATTCCTAATGGCAACTCAAAACACACCACTGTGTGCATTCAGCAGATGCCATCATTTCAAGTGCACTTTTTTTGGTGGGGTGGTGGGGGGAATAAAGAAAGGCTAGAGAATGACAGATCTCTAAATACACCCTGTGATTTTTAATTCCGTAGCAGTTTGTATAGCATGAGTGTGCTTTTAAAGGCTTGCACCGCTCCGTGGGTTATCTTGTGTGGTTTTTAATTATGCTGTTCAATTGCTTTTCCAGCTCAGCGAGATAGCATGCAGTCATCCCATCTCAATGGATTCCTTTATAGCCACTTAAATAAGCAGAGGAGTCTGCCTCAGAAAGAAGGCATTCTATCTTTCACATTCAGGCTTTATTTCTGAACAGAGTAGCCTCTCTACTTTTTTTTTTTTTTTTTTTGCAGATAGCTGTATGCAGTCTAGCTGAACACAGGAAACTACATTTTCAAGCTGGCGCAGTCCAGTGGGAACTCTATAATTAAAACACATGCAAGATAACCCGTGCTGCAGAGAGCAAACCTGCGGAAGGGCACATAAGCTGAACGGGAGGTGCAGAAGATCCTAGGTTCAATCCTGACATCTCCTGATAGGGCTCAGAACGTCCTCTGTCTGAAACCCTGAAGAGCTGCTGCCAATCTGCGTAGACGATACTGAATTAGCTGGGCCATTGTGGTCACTTAGTTGAAAGCAGCTTCCTAACAGCTCAGTGGGTTACAGCATGGTGCTCATAATGCCAAGGTTGTGGGTTCGATCCCCGTATGAGACAGAGCTGCACATTCCTGCATTGCAGGGGGTTGGACTAGATGATCCTTGGGGTACCTTCCAACTTCTATGGTTCTAAACCTCGTTTTCTGTGCTGCGTAACAGAGGCTAGGGGCACAGGTGTGCACTGGACATGGCACAAGTAATATCCCCCTTGCACTAGTATAACAGCAGCGACCCTAGAGTCTTCATTGCAACGCAGATTCTCCATCACCTATCCGAATCCTCCTGATCTCCAGATGTTCTGAACAGCAACTCCTATTGTTGACCCAGGTAGTATGGCCAATGATCAGCCATGACAAGAGTCCTAGCCCCAAACATCAGGAGGGTGCACCCATCACACTTATTCTGATGCCCAAGAGCAAAAGGGTGATGAGGCTGTGAATTAGACCTGGACATTGTGCAAAAGTCTTATCTGGAAGCAAGAGGTCTGAGCTGACACCAAGCCTCTCTCCCAGCCCAGAGCAATGATTACATCCATTACTCCTCTTCCTCAAAGATAATTATACTGTTTTATACATTTCATTGTGCTCCGGCAATTCTTTTGGGGGGGGAATTATTTTACAAGGAATCCCTACATGCATTCTGGAGTCATGGTAGCCTTGATTCAAAGCCCATTAGGACATGGTCAGTCTTCATTTGCAAAGAAGCAGAAGACCACATGTCAGAGCTCTCCTGTTACCAAGGGAGAAAATGGAAGGGTTTCTAACATGCTTTGTGATATTAGAAGGCTTCAGAGTCTTTTTAATATGGTAATTATTTCGAAGTTCAGTATCCCTCGAGACAAGCTGGACTTACCCATCTGTGAAAGTAATCAGAATGAGAAAAATTGTGTGTGTATGTGTGTACTCTAAACCACTTAGGGTTCCGACAAGAAGGAACTCAATTTTATTTGAAAAGTAAATATAACTGGCAAACGAAACAGAGTTGTATTGCTTTGGTACAGTAAAACTCATTGCAAGAAGAGAAAGCCGAAAACCCCAGAAGAAGGTATTGTGGCTAGTACTGAAAACTAACCAGCCTTGACTTTACGATGCATCCAGATCACACATCAAAATCATAGCAAAAGGCTCTGATAACGTCTCTTTTAACGGCACTTGACATGCAAGATGAAATAATCACCGATTAAAGGGAAGCAGGACAAGTTAAGGGGGGAAGTGAGACAGAACTACAAGGAGTGATGGCTCTTAACTGGTGGGAATAATGAGTCTTGCTTTATTTCTTGCCTTCTTGGCACATCCCAGTCGCTGGAAGTAGAAAAGGGCAAACGACCGGATTAAAAACTCCATGGCCACAGGTTGTGCTGATGTGGCCTGTGTGCCCTGCCTTTTCAAAGTAAGCTTTAAGGAAACACAGAAAAATAAAAGCAACAGAAAGAAAAACCAAGCCGGGCTCTAACCATCTCGGTTCAGCAATTACAGGGATCCGGCTGTTTCTAAAGAAAACAAAGGTGTGAGATGACACTCTGTGTGTCAAGGGCCTTTTGTGTATCTTCTAAGGACTGCAAAAAGGGGAGGAAAATAAAAAAGGGGGGGTGGGAGAGACACCAGTCACGCTAAAAATATCATCTGCTAGAAGTCTGAGTCATCAACAGTTCGCTTCAAAATCCCTAAAGGTCTTAAACACTCTGGGGCACAAATGACCATGAAGTAAAATTAACTCTGACAGATGTTTGTAGGGGGTGGGGTGGTGGAGACTCCCCTCCCCCTTTGCAATTATTTAAAAGAAGATCAAGTTGCTTAAGTATTTTTCTTCTGACTTCCTGGCGATTTTAAATGCCCAGACTAGCAATTAACTATTTCAGTGAACAGCAGCCCTGACTCCCAAGGCAGAGAGATGCAGACGGACGAGCAAAGCCATCCCGCTAAAGTGTGTTTCAGAATTACATTTCGGCTGGCCGCATCCACAGCTATACGGTCCACTACCTTATTATATACCCTACAGAGACGTAAACCACAAAGCATCATCGCTTACCTGCTCCGGCCGCCTCCGAGTCCAGATTTCGGCAAGTTTTGTTTTTTCTATTTTGAATTTTAAATCCACCAAGCCCCTCCAACCCCCCCTCCGCTGGGGCGGGGTCTTGCTTTTAGTTTACTTTCCTTTGGTGCACGTTTGCTTGCAAAAGCCCAGAGAACATTGCAGCATGGTGAAGTATCTTGTTTTCTGTTTTTGCAAAGCGGGGTGGGGGAGAAAAACCCAATAGCACTGTTGATAGGCTAGTGGTGGGAGGATTTCTTGAAATGAGCAGCAGCAGCAGACTTCTCTCTCTCTCTGGTCAAATCCTTCCAGGAGACACGCACGCACATAAAAACATAGGGTGGCTTGCAAGGGAAAAACCTGCTGTGCAAACCATCAGCAGAGGAAAAGTGCGATTTCTGCTGTGCGTTTGCATAGGCTTAACGTTGCCTTCCTCGGAATTCCAGCTTGGCCAAGGGATTCTCTCCCTTTCTCTCCCCTTCTCTTCCTCCCACCTTCCTTCCTTCCTTCCTTCCCTTCCTTTCACCCTGTCAGTCCATCTCCTCCCTTGCAGCCGCCCAAGTGACTCCAGCGGAGCCCCAACTCCGGGTTTACTGAGTGACCCTGGGAGACAGCAGAGCCTGCATCCAATCCGCAGTCCCGCCTCCCTCTCGGAGCCGGAGAGAGCTTCAGTTTGCTCCGCGCAGCCCCATCGCGGCGCATTCGCTGGCTCGCCGGGCTGGGAGGCTTCGCTGTTGCAGTGCTCGCCTCTCCTGCATGCTAATGAGGCGGTGATGTCAGCAAGTCAAAGGCGCTACATCTGGACAGTTCAGCGAATGGCCCGCCGGCCAGCGCCTGGGATTTAGATCTATATGCAAATCAGGCTGCCCTCTGCAAATCAATACGCAGTCTCACTTCCCCTGCTCTTTTTGCACGGCCAAGAAGAAGAAAATCTTTTTTTTTTTTTTAACATGTGCATCATAAGTTATGGGAGTTGCCCAGTTCTCTCTCCACGAACAAAAACTACACGGTTTTATCTCTGCACATGAACAAGCCCGTACATAAACGGTGAGAGTGTTGGACGCTGAGCCCATCTCGCCTTGTCTAAGCCAAGCCACTGCTTCCAGTTATTTGCCAGTTTCCCCAGTAGCAATCCACTCCTAGGCTTGGGGAATAAATGGAGCCCTCCATCGGCCCTCCTGCAGTCTAAACATTGGCCTGCCTGGAATCCTTTCCTGCCTACAGGTGTTCAAATGCAAGGTCAGGTGTTTCACAAGTGCAGCCAACATGGGTGGGAACTTGCCAGAATCAGGCCAACTTAGAGCGAAAGTCTGGGTATGGTTTCAGTTGGACAGTAAAAGGATCCCTGACCATTAGGTCCAGTCGTGACCGACTCTGGGGTTGCGGCACTCATCTTGCTTTATTGGCCGAGGGAGCCGGCATACAGCTTCCGGGTCATGTGGCCAGCATGACTAAGCCGCTTCTAGTGAACCAGAGCAGTGCACGGAAATGCTGTTTACCTTCCCACCAGAGCGGTACCTATTTATCTACTTGCACTTTGACATGCTTTTGAACTGCTAGGTTGGCAGGAGCAGGGACCAAGCAACGGGAGTTCACCCCGTCGAGGGGAATCGAACCGCCGACCTTCTGATTGGCAAGTCCTAGGCTCTGTGGTTTAACCCACAGCGCCACCCGCCTCCCCAGTTGGACAGTACTTACTGACAAAATTCACAAATACCTTTCCATCCCTTAGCCACAGAGAACATGCCCAGGTGACAACTTCCCAAGCACTTGTATATTATTTTCATTTTTGTTAAATGTATTTAACATAGAATTACAGACTTGGAAGGAAAACCAAGGGTCATCTAGTCCAATGGGAATCTGAGCTAAAGCATCCAAGAGACATGGCCATCCAATCTTTGCTTAAAGACCTCCAAGGAAGGAGAGTCCACAACCTCCAGAGGAAGTCCATTCCACTGTTGGACAGCTCTTGCGTTTAGGAAGTTCTTCCAGATGTTTAGTCAGAATCTCCTTAATTGTAACTTGAATCCAATGATTCAAGTCCTACCCTCCAGAACAGGAAAAAAACAAGCTTGCTCCAACTTCCATGTGACAGCCCTTAAGATATTTGAAGATAGCTATCATATCTCCTCTCATTCTCCATACCCAACATACCCAGCTCCTTCAACTGTTCCTCATAAGGCTTGGTTTCCAGACCCTTGGTCATCTTGGTTGCCCTCCTCTGCACACATTCCAGCTTGTCAATATCCTTCTTAAAATATGGTGCCCAGGACTGGACATGGTAGTATCGGTGTGGTCTGACTATGGCAGAATAGAGCAGTACTATTGTTGTTGTTTAGTCGTGTCCGACTCTTCGTGACCCCATGGACCAGAGCACACCAGGACTATTACTTCCCTTTATCGGGGCACTATACTTCTGTTGATGCAGCTCAGAATCACATCTGCTTTTTTTTGCTGCTGCATCACACTGCTGACTTGTGTTAAGCTTGTGGTCCATTACGATGCAAGCCAGGTGCCCCCCATCTTGTATCTATTTAGCTGGGGTTTTTTGCCTAAGTGCCGAACCTTCCATTTGTCCTTACTGAAATTCATTTTGTTAGGTTGGGCCCGGTTTTCCAATCTGTTAAGGTCATCTTGCATCCCAATTCTGAGCAGAGTGTTCAGTGGGGCTCAGAGGGAAGAAAGATGGAGCACTTGGGTGAGAGTTGCAGGAGGAGGAAAAGAGAAGCCAGGGAGGAAGGAGGCAAAAGGGAAAGCAGTGAGCCAAGGGAGGCAGGAAAGCAGGCAAACAGGTAGACCAATGGAGGAGGTGGAGGGGAGGAGGAGTAGAACACTGGCAGGCCACAAAAGGTGACGAAAAACAAACTCTTTGAGTTTCTGGTCCACATACTCTCCCGACTTCAGAGACTCTGATATATCTCCTTGCCAAGGGTACACTGGAGCCTACAGTAGGTATGCCTCTGAGTATGGGCAGCCTCAAAACTCCCTGGTTTTGTGCCACAGTCACTAACCTTGTTTGTTTGCACTAGGTAAAGGTAAAGGGACCCCTGACCATTAGGTCCAGTCGTGACCGACTCTGGGGTTGCGGCGCTCATCTCGCTTTATTGGCCGAGGGAGCCGGCATACAGCTCACAGGGTCATGTGGCCAGCAGGACTAAGCCGCTTCTGGCGAACCAGAGCAGCGCACGGAAACGCCGTTTACCTTCCTGCTGGAGCGGTACCTATTTATCTACTTGCACTTTTTGTGCTTTCGAACTGCTAGGTTGGCAGGAGCAGGGACCGAGCAACTGGAGCTCACCCCGTTGCGGAGATTCGAACCACCGACCTTCTGAACAGCAAGTCCTAGGCTCTGTGGTTTAACCCACAGCGCCACCCGTGTTTGCGCTAGCAATGAATATATATCGCAGAACTGCTATAGGCCGTATGGAGATTGTCATGCACAACGGTTTAGGGCTCCAGTTCAGGATTTCTCAGCAATGGCATCAAGGACTTTGAGAATGAGCGCTGGGTTTGGAAGCCAGGGCAGGACAGACATCATCACATTGCTGGTCCTTGTTAAATTGAAGTATGGAAACCGATGCTCCTATAAAAGGTTTGCTAAATGTTCCCAGTGGGAAGAAATGGCAGAAAGGAGAGCCAGCTAATGGTGTGGCTTGAGTGCTGACTAGGGGGAAACAACAGTCGCCTGCCCCACTTATGGTGCCACAGAGGCAGCTACCAGCGTGCCAGCCAAAGCGGCAAGCAGACACCCACTGTGATAGGCAGGGAAACCTAAGGCAGATGGCGGCTCAGCAGGCAACAGCATTGTACCCTGCAGGCTAGAATGGTTAAGCATCCTCCTCCAAAACTGCAAGGAGAAAGAATAGGCCAGCTGAACGCCCATCTCTGAGCAGGACTCCGCGAAACGTTGGGAAAACAGGCTCCAGTTTAGCAAAGCCAACAGAAGATTCCAACATTTGAGAAGAAATGGACTTTCTCCACATAAATTTTCAAATTCCAAGGACACTGAGTACAATTTCCTTCTCCATTATTTATTCCTCTCTGGCCTTCAGAAGCCAGTCAGGTCAGAAGCCAGAAAATGTGGTGTGCTGTGGGATAGCCGTTACTTATTACTGTGGCATTTTGCTTGCTCGCAGCTATGTTCATTACCTTTTTCATAAACTAGCCCTGGAAATTTGGGGATGCTGATTTTTTAAGGGTTGACCTACATGCAGAGCTATTTTATGCCCTAGGCAAGCCTAACCATTTGAACTCCCCCCCCAAAAAGATTTGCTAACTTCAATTTTCAAAAACAGATGCCTTATAGAAAAAATGAAAACTGCTAAATTTGTTTTAAATCACAATAGTAAGTAATACAACAATCTTTCTCAAATATGGAAGAACATGTTTTAGGGCACAAATCATTTCGAATAATCTTGTGAATTGTGATATTAAAGTTTAAGTCTCTGAATTATTTCAATTTCGGACATATCAAAATCTCACTTTGCATGCCTTTTCCTTTTGCAAGTTTTGTCACCAGTTCATTCCTGCCTTTGTAGCTCATTTGGCAGAGAATGAGACTCTTAATCTCAGGGTCCTGGATTCAAGTCCCATGTTGGCTGGAAGATTCCTGCATTGCAGGGGACCGGACTACAGATGACCTTTGTGATGCCTTCCAACTCTACAAGTCTCATGTTTCTGTGATTCTATGTGCTGGTGCTTGGGCATCTTCAGTTGATATAGTTGCCAAGCCAACCAGTCTCTTTTGCAACATTGCTGAGTGTATGTAAGCTGGGAGAACTCTTCAAAATATAAAATAAAATAAAATATTATCAGAAATTTATAAAATGTAACAAAAACCAATCTGTATAAAGTGGTGCTTCTCAAGAGTCAGTACAATGGTGCCCCGCAAGACGAATGCCTCGCAAGACGAAAAACTCGCTAGATGAAAGGGTTTTGCGTTTTTTGAGTCGTTCCACAAGACGAATTTCCCTATGGGCTTGCTTTGCAAGACGAAACGTCTTGCGAGTTCTTGCGAGTTTGTTTCCTTTTTCTTAAAGCCGCTAAGCCGTTAATAGCCGCTAAGCCGCTAATAGCCGTGCTTCGCAAGACGAAAAAACCGCAAGACGAAGAGACTCGCGGAACAGATTAATTTAGTCTTGCGAGGCACCACTGTACTGTGCCCCTCTGAGGTCTGCACCCTAAGTGGCTGCCTAGTTGGCCAAATGATAACACCAGCCATCATTATTATTATTATTCCCTGCCCTTGTGGCTGGATTGCCTACATAGGTTCATATCACAAACCCTGGACAAATACACTCAGTAGACAGTGGTGGAAGACTAATAAATACTTAACCCTTTTCTTCTTTTTCTTCTTTTGTAAACCACCCTGGGAATATGATTGACCGCAAGGCATTATAAAACTACATAGTGAAAAATTCATCATCAAAACGTTCAGTATTGAGCTATGATAAAAGTTTCTGATGCCTTGATGAGAAAAGATTATATGGATTTACAGTGCAATCCTGTTTCTGTTTATTCAGAAGGAAGTTCCACTAGGAAGTTTTCTCCCTGGTTGTGTGTTTATGACCACAGCCTTAAGCCTGGAAGGCGCATGGCCAAATCTTCAGGTGATGTTATTCAGCAGAACTTTTTCTAAAGCCAGTGGAAGGAAAGTTAAGCACATCTGCCAAAATTCTGGACTATAACATTAACAGGCAACCCAATAAGGCCTTGTTTGGGTTTGGAATTGCTTTTGCCTGTAGTAAATATAAACGGGACATGTCCGCTCCAGAATCACAAGCTTGCAAAGAACTAGCCAATCAGTCTTTTTAACTGTGCATGTTTAGATGGTGGTCAGGTTGCTGCTCATTTCCATTTATCCCTTCTTTAATTTGCATATTCATATCTAAAACATATTCACATATAGTATTTGTTCACTGGCTGATGATGTTGCTTGATTGGAGGCGGAGAGGATAGTTGTCCTACTTCTCTGATGAAAATAGGGACGTACAACAACAATAACAACAGCTGCTCTGGTTCGCCAGAAGCGGCTTAGTCATGCTGGCCACATGACCTGGAAGCTGTACGCCGGCTCCCTCGGCCAATAAAGCGAGATGAGCCCCAGAGTCAGTCACGACTGGACCTAATGGTCAGGGGTCCCTTTACCCTTTAAGGAAAAATGGGGAATTCTGGGGTCAATCAGAAATCCGGGACTGTCCCTGGAAAATAGGGACACTTGGAAGGTCTGAGTTGTGTGGCAAGGGAGATCTGGTAAGTCAGGTGGTAGCCCTGCTGGGTGGCCCTAATCCTATGCTCTGATACAGCAGCAGCAATGAAACCCACAAAATGAGTCTTAAAACTGTAGAATCTGGCAAATGTCTATAAAGGCAGCTGGACCAAACCCAACCCTGCTCTGAGTGCCGGAGCAGCTGTTGCCAAGAAAAACACAATGTGATCAGGGGGTGTGCACGGGAGAAAGGAGAAAGGGGGGGAGCAGTGGGGCCAGAAAGGACCCATTTATGCAGGATCCAGTGGGATCTGATTGTGCTAATGTAGGTTTAATTATGTGCTTGCATCAAGTTGGAGTAGGACTCTGGAATGGGTCGTTGTTTGGCAAGTAGGCTAGAACTTACTTGCTAAGCACAGGGTGCAATTTCAGAGGTGCAATGAAGAGGCAGATCTACTATGAAACTGATGAAGCTTCAGGGTGCCTAATCCCAGAGGGGGCCCCCAGAAGCAACTTTAGTCCCTATTGCTTCAAATTTTGGGGTCTAGCAGACCTAATTTGAGTGGCACTGCTCAAATTGATTGATTTTTTATTTTGGTAAACATGTCAACAATCCCAAAGTTTGATAGTAGCACAGATGTTGTAAAGGTGTGGTGATCTGTCGTGGAACAGCCCCATTGAAGATAACAGTGATTACCCAGACCTTGGCCAGAGAGCCAGTGTGGTGTAGTGGTTAAGAGCGGTAGATTTGTAATCTGGTGAACTGGATTCGCGTCTCCGCTCCTCCACATGCAGCTGCTGGGTGACCTTGGGCCAGTCACATTCTCTGAAGTCTCTCAGCCTCACTCACCTCACAGAGTGTTTGTTGTGGGGGAGGAAGGGAAAGGAGAATGTTAGCCGCTTTGAGACTCCTGAAGGGGAGTGATAAAGTGGGATATCAAATCCAAACTCTTCTTCTTCTCAGTGCTGGTTGTTAAGGGGCCAAGGGGCCCCCATGGCAGTTCAAGCTTCAGGGCCCCAGAAATTTAGGTCCACCACTGACTACATGTCTGCTATGACTACAGGTTAACAGCACGGGATTTCACCACTGACATGGGGGTACTGTGAGGACAAAGACTGAAAACAACTATTACTAATCAAACTGCCATGCAAATGTTGCGTGGCATGTCAATCTCTTTAAAATGCAGGGGTTCAGTGGGAGGTGAACTGCACCCCATAAAGTAATACGGTAATAATTTGTGGTTATTGCTCTATTGCACAAACCCACACTCTCACACATACATGTCTTTGCATGAATCCTGGCTTTCTTTCATTGCAGTCTGTTGGGGAAAGGAGACTGCTTTAGAAACCTAGGCTGTCGTGCTTAATCTGGACATAGCACAAGAATTTTGATACATCCTTGCTAAGCCTGCCTGCCAAAACCCCAAAATGACGTATTTTATAGTCAACTCAGCGTACATTAATTAAAGTATGGAGGAAATGGACCCAAACTCAACCAGGCAAAAGCAAACAAGGACTTTATGTTTTCAAAATCATAATTCAAAACAGAAACAAATATAACTTGTTTAGTGCAACAATTTTCCTTGGAAACGTTGCTGAAACCACAGGCATCGCCTCAGACAATGGCTAACAGCCATTTGATAGGACAACTTCTTGTCAGGACTACTTTTAAACAGCCACGTAAATGTAAGGGACTTCTCTGTATTGCCAAGCCATGAAAATGGGCCAATTGATGAAATGTTCATATTATAAATGGATGTGGATAGTGTTAAATTATGATGTTGGATCTGAATGGGCAGCACAGATTAAGGAAGGCATTCAGCAGCAAGTGGGAGCAGAAAAAATTATTGGTTTCCAACCAACTTCAATTGTACACATTGATTGGTTTGGGTCATTATAGAGTATTATATGTTTTGTTTTGTTTTGTTTTGTTTTGTTTTGTTTTGTTTTGTTTTGTTTTGTTTTGTTTTGTTCTTGCTACAGGGCAAGCAAATTTGCCACCCAAATTCAGATTTATGCATTTTCAGTTTTGGGGGGGTGAATTTCAGGTTTTGATAGAGGAAAGTGTCTGTATTGAAATTCTGCCAATGTTCGGATACTGATGAATTTCAAACGCAGGAGTATTTCGGATTCTGAATTTCACGTTCTCCGTTTTTAAATATTCAGATTCTGAATTTGGCACACGGAGTTTGCTCAGCCATTTCACTTCAACGCTGGCTTGTTTGATTGTCTGCTTGCATCTGTAGCCATCACTAGGAGCTACCAGGAAAGGGCCAGAAAGCAATGAAGAAAATAGAAACAGAGAACAAACAAGAAAAGGCAAACAAGAAAAAGAAGCAAAAAATAGCAAACAGAGAAAGGGTATGAATCAAGTTCTCTACAGCAGTTTAGAGCTCCGTAACGCTGGAAAGGAATTACTGGCGTGTAACAACCACAGAGTTACGTAAGGTCATGAGTTGCACTGGGTGAGGGGGAGGAACAGGAAGCAATTATTTGATTTTTTCATAACACAAGAACTTAGACTCTGGAGCTCATTAGGAAATACGCATTGAAAGCCAGAATAGATTACAGGGTTCACAAAATCATGAGGCAAATTCATGAAGAACAGCCAGCCAGCAGATGCAGCTATTTATTTGTTTAAGGTATTCCTAAAGCCAAGGGCAGATGCTGGGTGATCTGAACCAACTGGGGAAAAGGCCAACAGCTGACATGGAAGCTGAGCATCATCTCAGTTGTTTACAGCGGGGATGGGGAACCTGTGACCCTCCAGCAGGTGCTGGACCACAGCTTCCATCATCCCTGACAATTCTTGTTGGGGCTGATGGAAGCCCTAGGGGGGCAGCTTCCCCATCCCTGACATACAGCAAATGCAGAGGGAGGACTCACATCAGTCTAAACTCTATTTCTGCATTTGGGGCTTTTTGATTCAGTACAAAAGGCAACTAAAGGGGATATGGCAGAGGTTTATAAAATTATGCCTCATATGTAGGAAGTGGGTAGACATTAATATTCTCTCTCTCTCACTCACACACACACACTACTACTACTACTACTACTACTACTACTACTATAATTCAGGGTCACCCCGTGAAAATGACTGATGGAAGATTCAGGACAGACAAAATAACATCTTCACACAGCCCGCAATTTACTTCATAGAACTGCAGCCACAAGATGTGATGGGCAATACCTTAATGGCTTCAACCTTGTGATAAAGCACGTTTTCTGTGTGCAAAAGATCCCAGCTTCAATCCCTGGCATTTACAGGTAAAGCTGAGAATGTCCCCTGTCCGGAACCCTGGCGAGCCACTGCTAGTCAGTGCATGCAGTGCTGGAGCTAGATAGACCAATGGTCTGACCCACAGATTCACAGAATTGGAAAGGACCACAAGGGACATCTACTCTAAACCCCTGAAGTGCAGGGATCTTTTGGGGCTCGAACCCACGACCCTAAGATTAAGAGTCTCGTGCTCTACCACCTGAGCGATCACTGAGCTTCCTTTAGTTCCTTAAAAGAGGATTAGACAAATTCATGGAGGAGTGGGCTATCGATGGTTTTCAGTCATGATTGGCTCCATGTTCAGAGCTACTAGACACCAGAAGAAACACGGAGGACTATAGACTTCAAACCCTGCCTAAGGGCTTCTCAGACCATCGGGTTGTTTGTTGTGGGAAGAAGGATGCCAAAGCATGGGGTGAACCTTTGGTCTGATCTTATTTGAAAGAAGAGGGAAGAGGGAGGAGAGAACACATATGGATAATTGCCTAGTGATTCTCCTCAAGTGCATTTGCTTTGTCTCCAAGGCAACCCTTCATGTATCTTCCTTAGCTTGTCTCACTTCATAGGAACTTGGGTTGCATACACACTATGCCTTTAAAGTAGATTTGAAACACATCCTCCCCCTCAGACCATTTTGGGCACTGTGCTTTGCTGAGGGTTGCTAGGAACTGTATCACTGTAAGGCTTAAACTAGCGCCTGGAATTATTTCGAGGGAAAGTATGTGCTTCTTAAAAAGCAGAGACATCACCTTGCCGACAAAGTTAAAGCTATGGTTTTCCCGGTAGTGATGTATGGAAGTGAAAGCTGGACCATAAAGAAGGCTGATTGCTGAAGAATTGATGCTTTTGAATTATGGTGCTGGAGGAGACTCTTGAGAGTCCCATGGACTGCAAGAAGATCAAACCTCTCCATTCTTAAGGAAATCAGCCCTGAGTGCTCACTGGAAGGACAGACCCTGAAGCTGAGGCTCCAATACTTTGGCCACCTCATGAGAAGAGAAGACTCCCTGGAAAAGACCCTGATGTTGGGAAAGATGGAGGGCACAAGGAGAAGGGGACAACAGAGGACGAGATGGTTGGACAGTGTTCTCGAAGCTACCATCATGAGTTTGACCAAATTGTGGGAGGCAGTGGAAGACAGGAGTGCCTGGCTTGCTCTGGTCCATGGGGTCATGAAGAGTCGGACACGACTAAACAACTAAACAACAACATAGTGTGTGCACAGAGCCACAGAAACGGAAAGGGCTATGGAAGTCATCTAGTCCAGCCTCCTGCTCAAGTCAGGATCTGTAATGCAGGTACAACTGCATGAGCCCTAACAGAGGGCTGTCCAGCATCTGCTTATATGCCTCCAATGAAGGATGGTCCATCACCTCCCAAGGGGACAGCCAGTGTGGCACAGTGTTTAAAGGGCTGGATTAGGGCCTGGGAGACAGGAATTCAAATCTTTACTTGGCTGCAAAGCTCCCTGAATGACCTTGGGCCAATCTCCATCTCTCAGCCTCATCTACCTCACAAGGTTGTTGTGAAGATAAAATAGAAAGAGGGGGGAATCGTTTGCCCCACCTTGAACTCCTCAAGGAATAAATAAATAAACAAGATGGTCTGTTCTACTGCCAAGTAGCTCTTGCTATTAGACATGTTCTTCTAATGTTTAGGCAAAATCTGCTTCCAGCTATTTGGTTCTACTCCTGCCTTTGCACCAGAGAACAAATTTTTAGGCTACCAAAATGGAATGAACTGTATGTAACGAGTGGCTCTCTCAACTGCTGGCTGCGCTGTGGCTTTTTGAAGGGGAATATTTCGTATAAAGCATCTGATTTGGGTGATTTTATTCAATAGCAACAAAGAGGCTTGTGGTACCTTAAAGACTAACGTATTTATTATGGCACAAACTACCACAGACTACAGTCCACTTTGCCAGATGCATGAATTTTTATCCTGTGTTGCAGGTTCATATATGCATTGGGGGAAAGAACTGTAAAAAGTGAGATGTGGGAGAAATTAAGTAGACATTGAGGAGTACCTAATTATCACCGCCTGTATTTTTTCTGCATTCCATGTCATTATAATTCACAAAACAGTTCTTGATGACACAGTCATCTTGGCAATGGGACACCAATTACGGTAACAGAAACAGAGAAATTGACTATGGTCTACCAAAGCTGATGCCATGATCGATCTGTTCTTGAAGGTGCCACAAGACTTTGTTGTTTCCGGCGCAAAAGACTAATAAATCCTTTGGGATTTAGTCAATAAAACATTTTTTAAAAAGTTATTTAAAACACCAACATTTCCATCCACTTTCCTTCACAAAATTAGGGTTGACATTTCAACTGCAAAGTGAGCTGAAGGCAGGCCGGTATCGGTGCGGGTAAGGAGAGACAGTGGATTCTCCACAGCCAAACCTAGGGAAGGTGTCCTTGGAGAACTTGTTAAAGTAGTGGGGGAATTCCCTCTTTAGCAGATAACAACCTTCAGTGGAAAACTACCTACGCAAAACAGATTTCACTGCCCAGAGAAAAAGTGGCATGGTGCAGCTGTCATCCAGTTTGCCTTCAGAGACTGGAACCAGAGTGTTTCTGAGGCCTGTGTTCTTACAGCTTGAACTGATTTAGAGTTCAGAGTCAAACCTCACAACCTGTCAAAGGTACCTTCTGAGGCCTATTTTCTTTTCCGCAACACTTCTAGGTCTGTCTGCAGAATACACATGTTGCTAATGGGACAAATAATTGTGTAAAAGGTTCCAAGGATTTTTAGCTACCATTTAAACACACACTGGGCACAGTGGTACTTCTGGTTACAAATGGAATCCGTTCTGGAAGTCCGTTCGTAACCAGAAACCACTCGTAACATGAGGCGCCATTAGCGAAAGTGCGCCTCCTGCTGCCCGCGCGCCTTTGGCACGCAATTTCCGCTCACATCCTGGGGCAAAGTTCGCAACCAGAAATGGGTACTTCTGGGTCACCGGAGCTCGCGACCCATGGTGTGTGCAACCAGAGGCGTTCACAAACAGAGGTACCACTGTACCATGAAACCACAGGGCCTGTCCTCTTGTAAGAGTCCTATACAACACATCTTTATGAGCCGGGCAACTGAACAGATTGTCAGGGAACAACAGATTGTGCTGGTGTCACAAGATGGCACCCATTCCTTATCACTGCCTACCATCATAGTTGTCCCATTCCTATATCATTTTCTGCTTAAATGTGGATTGGGTTGCCCATATAGAATTCAAAGGAAATGGTCTGAAATTGTTATCAGGTAATACACTTAGCAAATGATATCAAAATGCTGATTGTTACCATGGATGTTACTGAGGGAGTTTCCTCTGGAATATAAGAACATGTGTATGTGTTTGTGTGTTGGCCAGAATACAACTCTTGAGGGGCTATCTACTGCTGGGAACATGTGTTTGCCTCATCACTTTTTTACTGCTTTACTTTGCATGAGAGGGACATTGCTAAAGAAAAAGAAGTTGGTGATGGGAAGGAGGCACCAATGTATTATGATTAATTAGATTTCTTCCATAAGGGCCAAGGTGAGTCATAACAATGTAAAAAAACAATATTAAAGTGTGTGTTTGTGTGTGTACAGTCAAAGGTCAGGATAAAGAGATGCATCTTCAGCTTATGATTAAAGATATATTGTGAAGGTGCCAGGCACACCTATGCGAGGAGGGAGTTCCACAACTTGAGGGAACGCTGGCTTGGGTATTTCCGCTACCTGAGGCAGCTGCTTCACCCCACCTCATAGGTGAGCCGGGCCTGCCCTCAGGCCACACCCCCTAAACTTCCAAGGAGGGGTGGAGCTACAAAGAGGAGCCCCTCTGCTCACCTTAACACCTGCAAAAGTCTATAAGGAAGAAGGCAGTTATTGCCCACAAATTCTTCCAAGTAGTGTTATAACACTACATATATCATACGTCTTGGAGGAACATTATATGAAACATATGGCAGCTGCCAGGCAGTGGCCATCAGGAGCGATTTACAATGGGCAGAGAATTAACCCTTATTTGGGGAACCATTCAATTGATTTGCGGCCGTGTGCTTCAAGATACACAACTACTGAACTCCGTATTTCATTAGCACAATGAGGAAGAGCTGTGGCTCAGTGGTGGAACATCTGCTCTGCATGCAGAAGGCCCCGGGTTTAATCCCTGGCGTCTCCAGGTACAGCTGGGAATGGCCCCTGCCTGAAACCCTAGAGACCTGCTGCCGGCCAGTGTAGACAATACTGACGTAGATGGACCCACGGTCTGACTCTGCATAAGGCCACTTCCTATGTTCCTAATCAGATACATTGGGAGGTTTACAGTACGCAGTCAACTTTACCAGTAAAAGAGTACCCTGCCTTCCCCCCCTCCTAATTTCAAAGGTATCTGCTTATGTTTCCAATGACAACCACATATTCAATGCTACCTCATGTTTCCTACCTTCTAAAGACTACCCATCTGGTATGAAACAGAGAACGCAAAACAAGAGGTTCCACAGGTACATTAATGTTATTAAAAGACGGTATTGCTTGGACATAATTTCCCAAAATACATGAGTTTTGTCCACCATATGTGGAAGAAGTCTGCTCTGTTTTTGGCTCAGTACAAACAGTTGCCATTTCCAACTTTCTACATCTCATTTAATATCTGAGGTGTTAAATGCCTTTGCGTTGTCATTTCTATACCGATAATGTTGAGCTCACGGTAAACTGACTTCGAAGACCAAATTTCAGGAGATATTTCCTAGAGAATGGGTAGGCCAACTAAGGCCCGAGGGCCAGATCCAGCTCAGTCGCCTTCTAAATCCAGTCTGGGAATCAACGTGTTTTTACATGAGTAGAATGTGTCCTTTTATTTAAAATGCACCTCTGTGTTATTTGTGGGGCATAGGAATTCGTCCATTATTATTTTTCCAAAATATAGTCCGGCCCCCCACAAGGTCTGAGGGACAGTGGACCGGCCCCCTGCTGAAAAAGTTTGTTGACCCCTGTCCTAGAGGTTTTACAGTCCTTTTCTCATTCTGGCTGGCAGTGATATTCTAAACCTGCATTATATTTAGAACCTGTTTTCTAAATATTTTAGAGAATATATTTGTACCTGGATGCTGGATCAATTTTTCTCTGATTTCAGCGTCTCCAGATGAGGAATTTTCCATCCTTACAAGCTACACTTATTTGCTTGATAACTCCTGGCTCGCCACTAGGACACAAATGGTCTTCAGAAATGAGGAGACTGCAGGACATCAGAAATACAGAAGGAACACTAAACAGAATTTGAAAGAGCTGAACTATATGGAATGCTGGAAACATGGGAAGGGATATAAGGGATTAGACAGTACCTGAGATATCTTGGACCCAAGTTGTTAAGAACATTGTGAATTAATGCAAGAACCTTGAGACTGGGCAGCCAGTGCAAGCTTTGGATCACTGGAGTTACGTCTGTCCTCACCAACAATTTGGCGGCAGCACATCAAATACAACCCACAGAGCAGGAAGGGACCTTAAAGGTCGTCTGGCCCAATTGTCTGTTGGTGCAAGATGTGTACTTCTACAGCATCCCTAATAGGTGACCATCCAGCATCTACTTAGAAATCTCCAATTAAAGACTCAGTCACTAACCAAGGTAGTCTGCCTGTTCACTGTTGAACAGATTATACCATCAGGAAGTTCTACCTAACATTTAGTCCAAAACATTTTCCTTGTAATTGGAAGCGCATTGGTGCAAGAGAACAAATTTGCTCCATTTTCTACATGACAGCCCAATTTGAAGACGGTCATCATCAATGCTATTTTTCCAGAAAAAAGTGGTGCCGCAACTCACCACGAATGCCCCCCTTGTTCTCTTACAATGCCAATGGTGCCCACCTGAGAGTGTAGTCAGTGTAGAATAGTGAGCTAGATAGACCAATGGCAACTTCCTATGTTCCAATGGGTTCCATACTACAGATCTCAACTTCATCAAGAGTAGTGTCTACTGGACTGTTTCGGATCCCTTGTATATATTAATTCCTCTTTCTCCTGCAGCCGGCTCGGCTCGACTCAACTGACTCCGGAGGACAACCTGCATTCCTCAGGGCTGCTGTGTGCTGCGCACTTTAAGAGGGTGTTTCATTAAGAGACACGATGTAGGGTGAGCCAGGGGAACACACTTCACAAAGGTTGCTCTAATGACTTTCACAGCCAGGAAGATGGATGCTGTTAAAACTCAAGAGATGAGCTTTTCTAGTAAGAGAAGAAACCAGGAAGCTAAAATCAGAAATCCAAGAGTTGCATTCACGAACATTTGGAATGGACATCAGTTACGATCTAACGCTAGGGAATGAATGGGCAACTGGCAGTTCCCAAGCGGTTAGATTCTACTTTATCTAATTCCTGGCAATCCTACCCAGTTTTAACCAAGAGATGGTAAAATAGTTGCTCACACATTCACTCATAGTGATGAGTGAAAGTTGTAAGAAACAGAGGCACCCCGTGTAGTAATTTCACATTTCTCGTTTGAATTTTCTGTGCAATATCTACACTCCATCGAAGCAGTTATGCTTTTCAAGTGTGAAGCTCTCACTGTTTGAAGGCACCATCGTAGTTATGGAGCCTGACTACTCATGAGGGGGTCTGTTTGCATGCCAAAGTACACTTCCTGCTCCCAGTCCGCAACTGGCAAGGAAACAGAGGAATCCTTGAGAACACAGGCATTGTCCGTTCTTGATCTACGCCAACGCGATGCTCTCCAGATGTTATTGGATTACAGCTCTTGTCAAACCTAACCATTCACCATGCTGTTTGTGAATGCCCAATGATCTCTGTAGGGCATCGTATTGGACACCCCTGATGAATGCAATGCAGTGTATTTCAGGTTTTGTACTTTCATTAAGCTGAGGGGTGTGTACGCATATGTTTGTGAAGTTCCAAAATAAAGCGATTTGCTTTACCAACTCGGTCGGTTCCAGCAATTCAAGCTATCACAAATACCATCCTTTGAAGTGTCTGATATTATCTGCAAAGGGTCTCGCCACAAGGGGCAAAGCCGCCAGATGATTTGGCATCCAAACCCCAAGGCTGACACAACATAGGAGACATCTGCTTTATACAAATCTGATTCTTTAGAACAGTGAGGATACATAGCGTTGAGCCTTGAGGAACAACAGCCAACCCCCGTATCTTAGATGGCACTTCTTTATCTGAGATAGAAGCTAAAGCCCTGCAAATTCACATCAAACTCTGTGATCCAGCAACCCTTACTGGGCGATGGGGGGTGGGTGTGGACCAGATTGCATTGCTGTGTTTATTTTTCAGACTGTAGCAGCTTATGTGACATCGCCGAGCAGTTACAACAACAAGCAGAGCCTTATCATCAGGTCACTGGGGTAATAAGGGAGATGGATGGCATATCAAGTTGCCTTGCTGAATTATTTAGTGAACATCCTTTATGGAGACAGATGGAGCTGGTCATGACAGCATCACAGAGAAAGGATGCTCTCTCTGGTCATAGGATTCTTCGGCAAAGGGCTGACCGCACAGTTTCTAGAAGCTCCGTAAACAGCGCTTTAAGTGACAGCTCGTGAACTGAGTACTTGACACTTGCTCAGTGGATTCCCATTAGATCAAGTAAAACCACAGCCTGTCCAAATGTTCCCTCGCAGCCCTGGAATCAGCAAAAAGGGCTTCGGAGAGGCAAGGTGCAAGAAACCCCCCCAAAAAAGAAAACAATAGCGACCTACTTGCTGCACTCCTCAGGAAGGCAGAGAGAACACTGTGCCACTTCAAGGCAAAAAACAACAACAATTCCAGCTGCTTTTGCATACCTTTTGCAGAATAAATATAGGCTAGGTAATTTGCAGCAACAGACTCTTAATGTTAAAACGCCCCAAATGGAAAAGAAAAGAAAGCAAGAGGCCTAAACCTGCAAAATGATGACAATTATGGGATGCTTCTGCAGGAGGGCTTGCGGTTGATACTTCAGAGCTTCCCTTTCTCCCCAACTGACCTCCAGCAGAGATTTTTAAAATTTGTTTACCATATGCAAAAGCATTTTTCCCCTTCTGCCTCTGTTACCTCCACATATAGAAATACCATAAATCTGGGATAGCTAATGTAGTAGAAGAAGAAGAAGAAGAAGAAGAAGAAGAAGAAGAAGAAGAAGAAGAAGAGGAGTTTGGATTTGATATCCCGCCTTTCACTCCCCCATAAGGAGTCTCAAAGCGGCTAACAATCTCCTTTCCCTTCCTCCCCCACAACAAACACTCTGGGAGGTGAGTGAGGCTGAGAGACTTCAAAGAAGTGTGACTAGCCCAAGGTCACCCAGCAGCTGCATGTGGAAGAGCGGGGAATCGAACCCGGTTCACCAGATTACAAGGCCACCGCTCTTAACCAGCATCTTCCAAATGCTGTTGGACTCCTAACTCCCATCATCCCTGACCATCCCTGGCTGATGGCAACTGGAGTCCAATGACCACCCCTGACCTCTAGCCTCCTTCAGAAGCAGATCTGCCTATTTATTTGTTGAAATATTTCCATCCTCCCCTCTTAGCCAAAGACTTGTGGCTAAGTGGAGGTAAAACATATGCAGCCAACGTATGTAGCCCTCCATGAATTTCTCTAATCCCCTTTTGAAAGCCACCTAATTCAATGCTCATTAACATTCAGGTTACTGAAAAATTATTATTGGACCCTAAAGAAAGCTTCTTATAAGATTCAAGAGGAGGAAAAGATGACTAAGAAGAGGAGGATTCTCTGACCCGTTCCTCCCCCCTCCTTTTCATCTTTGCCTCACTACATGTCTTTCTTTGTGAGAATAATGGGAGAGTTTGGGCAGGCCATGAATACTTTTTACAAGGATCAAGTACCTGATTCATTTTATTTTTAAAAAACCTGTCCTGCTAGACTTCATTCAAAGCAGCCCATATTCTCCAGGGTCTTTGGTGCACAAGAGAATGGAACTTGGTGTGCCCCCCCCCCAAAAAAAATCAAAGCCACACAGGAGATGGGAGAGAGGTGAAACTTAAAGCTCCAGTGCTTAGAATCAAAACTTTTAACATTTATGTGCTGGTTAGTGCCTGACCTTGTGGAAAGATACATCCATTTCTCCTGTTGCTGTAATTGCTGCCGTGGGCTTAATGGATTCCTCAGGTGAGGTTTCTGTACGAGGTTGCGGCCGATGTCACCGATTCTTAATGTGCA